GAGTAAGGCTATATATGGAGTAGGGCTACTCGTTATTTTTTAAATAAGTTTAAGTATTTTACGTTAAAAAAACGGTTATATCATACATTTTTAAATCGTTCTTTAATGTTTCTGTTTAATATTGAATAGACTGAAATTGAAATTATTACCGTCACGCATCATTCATACCACGAAACGTTCGCATTATAGGATATAACATTATGACTGATATTACTCGGAGAGGATTAATAGGCTTACCACCACTATAAAAGACTATTCATCAGGCAAGCAAGGTTGAGTACGTTAAATGGATAACAGGGAGGGGCGAGGGTTCAAAACTTTGGATTTTTTCTCCAAAAAAATTTGGATGATTCATCTGTCCCTTGAATCGACTTGCTGTGCCGTTCTTGGCATCAGATGTTAATGTATGGATTAACCTCTTTTGCTAATGAAATCGCACGAGTATCATTTTGGTAATTTGCCATGAATTCGTTGACACACGCTCATTAATTATAGTACTGTGTGCGCTCGGTGTAAAATTTTCAATCTATCTAATTATTCATGAATTAATTAATGATCATAGTCTACAGGCAGCAAAATGATTAGTATAGATGGTTCCATTGGGAATGAAGCAGGTGGAAAATTCGTGTGTTGAAAAATAACAGATATTTGAACTTTCATTTGTTACTGAACGTAACTCCAACTCTGAATCTTATAGAGTAATCACAGGGGTTAACAGTTATATTTTATAACCAACAATAGGCCTACAGTATGGCTACTTGCAGCCTACTTCGGGGATGTCCTCTCACCATTTTTATTGTATCTACTCAGGTAAATTTCAGTATTCCATCCATCTATCTATCTATCCATTAATCTATTAATTTATTCATTCATTCATCATTCATTCATACATTCATTCATTCATCATCATGCATTCATACATTCATTCATTCACTGACTTATCCATGCATTCATGCATTTATTCATTCTTTAATTTTTTCATTCAATTATTCTGTCAGCCATTCATTCATTCATTCACCCACCCATTCATTTATTCATTTAATTATGCATTCATTAAGTCATTAATTTACTAGTATACATTACATCCATCCACTAATTCATTCATCCAAATATTCATTCATTGTGTCAGTAATTCATTCATCCATCAATTAATTATACATTCAGTAATTCATTTATTCATCTATCCATTAATTCATTTATTTATACATTTATACATTCGTTCATGGTTTAATGAAAAATTATTCTTAACATAAAACAGAATTATAACAAGTTTACTAGATTAAAACGCACACAAATAAACGAAACAAAATCAAATCTTAAGTAATGTGTTGGTCGGATCATAAGTCCATGGTCGGATGATAAGCGATAAATATAAACTTCACCTTTTAAAAAGTTCCATAAACGTATAGATAGGACATACAAAAGTACTTAATCACGCACTCAATATTTAAAAGTACTAAACAGGTTTGTCTCTATCAGAATACCTTATTAAAATAATTTTCGTTAAAATGTTTAATGTTAGATGTTCCTTAAACAAGCTGTTTAAACTTTAAAGTGTATACAGAAGTGAAAGTTGTCTTACAATTAATCGATAAATTAAATAATTAATCAAAATCATTAATTAGGCTAACGTTATATACATCAGTCAATTAGAATAATTAAATTATGAATAATAAAAGTATTATCTTTTGGGATCAATATTATTATGAATTTTTTATTTATTGTTATTTATATTTTATTCAAATTCGGCCCACAGCATAAAATAAAAAATAGTAATAAGGTGGCGGAAACCAGGTGAAAGTGCACCTATACTAGTTTATCCACCAGAACATAAAAACATAATATAAACATAACAGTAAATAAAAATATAAATTATACACGTTAATCATTATAAAGCATTTTACGAAGTAAATCATAAAAGGAACACAATAAACAAAATTTCAATATAACTTAGATAGAAATATTACACTCTGGTTAAAAAAAACCCAAAAAACAAAAATCTACTACTAATAATAATAATTATGGTATACAGTAACAATAATATTGATAATAATATTGCAGTAATCATTTAAACAAAAGCACTCAGTAAAGAACATAGCCCTATCTCAGACCACCGCAAAAACCCTTTCTATAAAAGAAAACTCCCAAAATATGTTCCTAATTTACTTTAACAACCACCAAAACACCCCAAATCACTTCGCTCTGCTCCTCTTCAAAAACTCGCCCAAAAACGTTTTATTTCAAAGAGGGGCACTATTTCCACTTTTAGTCTGGAATCGGTCTGGTCTGGGACGTTTTCCTTTGAATGGTCTACATTATCCACACCGTACTCCGGATGGTAACCAAAATTTACACATTTCTTCATCGAAACATGACAAACTAAACTTAAAAACGGGAAAGTTAATTTCAAAAATGATTCAGCAGGATTGTGCCTCTCTCCACTCACTAACTGGATTACCCTAATGTTAGTACTCTGTTATTTATTTATTTATTTATTACCGGGTAGTTCTCTCCTTGGAAGTATACGTGCATGGTCTGTCTGCATGAATATAACGAAGGTTGACTAAAATTAATGTGTAATCGGTATAATGCCTACCATAAACAAACACAGCACTTAACTCTTTTTTTTACAATTTTAGTGATAGTATATAACTTCTAGAGCGTGATCAATAACTTATTAATGTTCCAGGTTGAATTTTGCAAGAAAATTTAATTAAAATTGTACAAGTATTATGTTCATAACATGTAGGCTGCAGGTCCATTTGTGTAGCAAATAGTATCCTGTGTTTTATTTATTGCATATTGTGTATATTTCATAGTTGAATACCCTCCACATCGTGTAAATACAATTACAGTATGTTATAGTCATTTTTGGTTTATGCATTATATATTCATTCATGTTTCTTGCTCTTCTGGAGGAAAATCAACTCAATTTATTTACTTATGGCCATGATAAGAAATTAAATTTTTAACAATATCATTTTCTACAGCTTTACCAGCTGCTATTTCATGGCATCCAGAGGTGCCATATTTCCTACATAGACTCATCAATGCTAACTTTATATATTGTGGCTGCCCCTTGAGGGGAAGGGAAAGCGGCTCTAGGTTGCCAGCATCT